TGAATTTAAATTTCGCTGAAAAATATTGTAAATTACAAAATGTCGATGTAAATGTCGATGCAAAATGTACAACCCCTCGTTTATTTAATTTATTGGGGAAGGGGGTCGGAAAATTTTACTACATTAGTGCCCTCACGTTTGGGCAGGGGAGAAGATGCAAGCATTTGAGGGCTTTTTTCTTCCCAGACAACCGCCATAACAATTATTTGCAAGGCCTCTTCAAATGACAGGTATAAACATACTTAAGTTTGTAGTTTGCACAATGTGTGGAAGTGGTTTATCTGGAACATCAAAAAATCTTGCCGGCGCCCATACATGTGTGTGCATAGAGAGAAACTATACCTTCTACTCCCTTTACAGTACATCTTTTTATGTTGGCAAACTAGGATCTTTAGTCAGAATTTTAACTTTTCTATCGACTAGCTGGTTAATTGTGTAAAATTAGAAATTCGAAGTTCGTACTTATTAAATGAGCCCTCCCCCCATACGCTTTCGTACGCTTTTCGAAGACCTTCCCCCTATGAGCGTACGTGCTTTATGGACCACCCCAAATGAAGAAACAACAAGAAAACAGTAACTTATAGTTAGAGAATTACTTTATCATTTATATTTAGAATTTTTTTTTCCTTTTCAGAAAACTAATAATTTAACAGTTTATAAAAAATACCCTATTTATGAATGACGATGTTACACTTAACTCCGAATTTAATTCATTACAAAATAAAAATAGGATACTTCTAGATAAGCATTCTGACCCATAATCTAAAAACATAATGCAAAGACTAGATGTAAATTCATTTTCAATTTTGCATTTAAACATTAGGAGCATTTCAAAAAATTTTGAATTATTTAAACAATTTTTATATCTAAAATGTAAAAAATATGTGAGGTTAAATTTGATTTTAAAATTATTAGTTTCAGCAAGACATGGTGTACTGATGAATATAAGTTGAGACAAATACAAATTTTTAGCTACCAAAATATAAAATGATTCATCAGTTTAGAGGATCTGGGAAGAAAGGAGGAGTTTTGTGTGTATTTGTTAGTAATTTATTTTATAAATTTATAGTATATATTTGTCAGTGAAGGTTCCACTTTAGCGTCAAAAATAGAAACTACTGAAGTAAACTTTAAGTCATACCTTACTCCAAATAAGACCTCTAAAATGGATAATTATGAAATTACTTATTAAAGGAACTCTTAGATGCAGTATATCTTTTAAAATTAAACGAAAGTGATTTGATAATATTAGTAAGTAATGTAACTCAAAAAATCGATAAAATATCAGTCCTCCTTCTACATACTTTCTCTTTTCTCCAGTCCTCCTTCTACATACTTTTTTACTTTTCTCCAGTCCTCCTTCTACTTTTATTCTCTCTTTAAAACTAGCTGTTTATCCTGAGAAACTTAAAATTGTGATGGTCATTTTTAAATCAGGAGACATTTCTAATCCTGAAAATTACAGACCAATTTTAAATTCTTGCTTGCTGTTTTAAAATCTTAAAGTGAATTATGTATAACCAACTCCTGACTCTTCTAAATATAAATAATGTTCTATACAGTAAACAATTTAGATTTCAGCCAGGGTATTCAACTGACCAAGCATTCCCGGACATGTGGTTGCATGCCTTTCATTTGAAGTAATTTTTTTAGACAAACTTATAACAGCAGTTCGCATCTTTTAACTTATAAACGGTTTCAATAATTTGCAGCAAAAAGCTAAACTTATCTACTAAGAAAAAAAAACAATCCTCCTAAAAAAATAAAAATAAAAAAATTGTAACGAAATATCAAGTTTAATTAAATAAACTAGAAAATTTAATAATTAAAAAGAAAAAAATTAAAATTTTTTTTTTTTAAACAATTTTTATGCAACTTTTGTATTCTTTTTTTTTAAGAGTCAGCTGTTTTTAGCTACCGAATTTTATACAAGTTGATGAAAAAAACTTATCTTTTATAACAATTTAACAACAATTGAAAGTTTTGACATGCAATTCATTCACAATTTTTATCATTTCTTATAATAAAGAAACTAATTTGCTATGTAAGCTGAAACTATGAGAGAAATTTTGGCAATTTTTTTTTAAAGCTTATTCGTTTTGACATCTTTTCACTTTTAAAAATGTTTTTGCTATATTTAACATTTTTTCTTAATACTTATATGATAAGAAAATAAGAAAATAAATTGCTATTTACTTGTAAAATATATTATTTAATTAATAAATTTTGTAATGATTTGGTATTTTGGTTAAATGTATTTACTGCATTTAATGCGCGTCTGAAATTATTTTATTTATATTGTCCAATTTCCAACATTAATACAATTTAAAAGATATAATGAACATAACCATTGTTCTGTTTGAAAAAATGTATTTAAAAACTTAAAAAAAAGCTTCTTGAAAAAAGGCTCCTAAAACCTTTGTTAAGTTCAGTAAATTAACAATGCACTAGCCCACAAGCTTTTGGACCACCGTCAATAAAAATAGTTCATCAGGAAATAAACTATTGGGTTTAAATGCAAAACTTGGATAATCCAAAAAAAGTGCAGACTATTTTAATGGGAATATTGAAAACAACCAGATATTTTATATTTAAATATTATTATAAATGACTTTTTATTCTTTTATATGAAAAACTTTTTACTCTGTTACATGAAAAACAAACAAAAAAAAAAAAAAAAAAAATTTTAACAAATAAATAGCAATAAGTTTTCTCGCTTTCCTGTGCATTGACAAAAACAGTAAAGTTTAGCAAAAAGATTTGAAAAACAAATTTAAAAAGTTAATGTTTCTAGCGCAAATGATGAAGTATTTCCTTAATATATTGACTGAAAAAAGCTGCAAAAAAAGTATATCAAAAAATGGTTTTTATTTTTGTTATATTCTTATATGCTTTTTACCTACAAGACAAAAAGTTACACGCATTTCGTCGAAAGGCTTGTATATACATACAGTGATAAATTGTGATAAACAAACAGAGATTAAGATGAGTATAAGATTGTTTAAAAAAGTTGATTATAAGGAATTATAATCTTTTTCAAATACAGAATTTAGATTCAATTTATAATTTTTGTTAAATTAGTTTAAATAATTTTTAGCGAGGTTTAAAATTAAATTTATTTACAACATGATATTTTAAAATACTTTTAAAATATCAATAATTTTTATGCTCCTGTAACAAATAAGACCTTAATAACTACAGCACATTAAAAGCAAAGGGTTTCAGACAAAGCATGTACTTTATTTGAAAGTAGAAAATAAAACGCTAAGCAAGATAAATTTAAAAAATATTTAAAAACCTAAAGTTTTCTTTGCTAGTCAAAACAAAATCGTTGTTTAAATAATTAACATGGGTTTGTGTTTACCAATGTTAATAATTTTTGTTTACTCTAGAAATTTTTAAAAATAAAAAAAATCATTATTATTTTTTATTCAATAACGATTAAAAACAATTATTCAAAAACAAATTTCAGAATTGATATATATATATATATATATATATATATATATATATATATATATATATATATTTTACTAAATAATATTGAACTAAAATTAATAATAAAATAATAATTGAAAATTTATTATGAAAAATTTTCATAATAAATTTACATTTAAAACGTTTATAGTTATTTGAGTTAATTGTTAAATTGAACTAGTTTGCGGTTATTTATTTATTGCGGTCGTTAAAACACTTAACGCCTATAAAGATAATTTTATGACGTCAAAATCGCGTTAAGCTAATGCATTAAGCACTTTTTTATTTAAAACAAGGCCTGTATATATATATATAGTTCAACTCCCACCATGTCCCTGGAAGTACCGCCCTCAACTTAATTTTTCTGCACAGCGGTCTTGCTTGTCAAGGTTCATGTTTTGGAGTTAAAGAGTCGAGAGAGGGTTGTACCACGATTTACAAAAAAAAAAAAAAAAAAAATAATAAACTGTTAAATTGAGCCCTGAAAAATACGGCCAGTTGAAGAAATTTAAAATGTATTGTGTTGAAAAGCCAATTTGAACCTTTACAAAACAATACTGCTGAAAAGAAACTAAACCACTGAGCTATTGAAATTCTGCATGTTATAGAAAAACAAACCATTTTATAAATCTCTTATAAGCTTAATGTATGCAGAAAAGGTGTATAACTTAACTTTTTCCCTTCTTAAAGCTCGGTTTTTTTAAGAATTGTGTTTTTACCATTGACTAAAAAATATTGAAGTAAATAAGAAATAAGTACAGAAATGATCGGTGTGGAATAGAAATGGTTGGTTTGGTAAAGACCCATATTTTACTGTCCAGACAGCTAGGATATATATATATATATATATATATATATATATATATATATATATAATATATATATATATTATAAACAAGTATAGAAAAGGACAGTGTGAAGTAGACTTACAAGGACCCATATTTTTACAAATGCGGTCAGCTATAAGAATACAATACTGATTCCATTCTAAATCACTTTTTTTAATTCCATAAAGTCTTTTCTTGATTTAGCAAAAACATTTTTCTTTATGTTAGAAAAACCTTTTTTATATTTTTGATTACTTTTTTTAGACTCATTATAAGTCCAATTGAGTCAAAACAAAAACAAAGTATTTGGCATTTTAAATAAAAACTTAGTAAGAATTGATGTTTCAAGTTGATAAGTATATTTAATAAGTTCAATCGAAAATTATTTAAACTGTGTAAAGAATTTTCATTTGTGGTGATGCAGATTTACATTTATGTTTTCAAGTCAACATATTTTTAATTATTAAACTTTAAAAAAAAGTTTCAAAATTTTAAATTTAACTAGAATATATTAGAAGATTTATTTTAAAGATTATTAAAACATTTAACTAAAAGTTAATTTTTTGAAAACCATAGTTTGATACAACATGATTGCTTTTTTTGAGAATTTAAAAAAAAAAAGAGATTAAATTTAGTAAATAATATATAATTTTCTTTAATATCTAACCAAAATATAAATTTAATAATATTTCTCACCACTCGAGCAAGACGTTCTTGTGATTGACACTTGCAACAAAACCACGATCCACTTGGAACTTTGTTAATCCCATAACAGGCTATAATATTAAAACTTGAAAAATGTAGGCACCATTAAATGAATGATTACAATAATAAAGATTATATTACCAAAAAAATTCCATTAATTGAAATTGTAAATTTCGATTTTATTATGATAGAAAACAAAATTATTTCAAATTTATTTAAATTATTACTAATTATATACATGTATATATATATATATATATATATATATATATATATATATATATATATATATATATATATATATATAATATACATATATATACACACACACATATATATATATATATATATATATATATATATATACAACCACACATATATAAATATATATATAGACTGAACAGAATACTCTTTTTTTCGTAGGAGAGAAAACTCATTAAATTTAATGTGTTGCTGTGCTTTTCTACATAAAAAAGAGTATTCTGGTCTCTCTCTCTCTTTATATATATATATATATATATATATATATATATATATATATATATATATATATATATATATATATATATATATATATATATATATATACCCACACGCACTTACTTTAGCAGACTTAGGTTGCACTATATTATAAATGTTCACCTCAAGTTTTAAAATGACAACTTTAATCTAGAGAGTTATCCAGACAAAAAAGAAAAATCAAATAAAAAAACTTAGACTGTAATAAATGTCATAGACTTGCCCAAACCTAAACTCTCAGTTGATGTATGTACTGTAATGTATGTATGTATGTATGTATGTATGTATGTATGTATGTATGTATGTATGCATGCATGTATGTATGTATGTATGCATGTATGTATGTATATGTATGTATGTACATATATATATATATATTATATATATATATATATATATATATACATATATACATATATATATAATATGCATAGTAAATATTACAAAAATAATGCTTTTTTTCTAGAGCTAATAGTAGCCTTCATGTAGCATTGCAAAATTATTGTTTGCATAATTTTTCAAATGCCTTAAAAAAATTTTGCATTAAAAAAACAATGCATGGCTTGTAAATTTTAATGACTTTATTTCAATGAGAGATAGTAAAAGGTACAAAAATTATTAAATCAATTAATTAGTTGAAATTTATACAGCTTGTAATATAAGTTACAGTTAGAAAATTAGTTTTTACATTAGCCCTTTGACTTATAGGGGCTAATATAAAACCAAACATACAAAACGCAAATCAAACAATAATTATTTGAATTTTACTATTTATAAAATTTTTCAAATTAAGACATGGTAAAATAGCAATAAAAAACTAATCAAACATTTGTTTAAACATTAATTTTTTAAATTTTTTAATCAGCATTATATTTTGCAGAACTTTCAACAATTATTTTCATAAATTTTCAATAAGATTACTTTACTGGAGAGTAAAACCTTGAACCATCAAGTATATTCAATTAATAGATAATGAAAAATACTAAGATGTTTAAAATAATGAATTCTTTATAATTAAAAATACTTTTATGAACACAAATGCATACTAGGAAACTTCTACAGAATTGCCAATTCGTTTGAATCGTTTACTTATTTAATTTTAAAATATTTGAAATGAAACGAGAAAGTTCTTAGGTTGACAGACCTTGGTGAACAGCAACGTTACACCCGGAACCATCGCAGTAAACTAAAGGGTTTTCAGTCCATCCTCTCTCATCCAAACACACACAACAACCTCCTATCATTTCTCGAACCATTTTTCGGCATATTTACAGCTGCGGCAAAACGGAAGAATTACATGCATCATCGCATTGGCTCGATTCTAAAGCACCTGCGACTTCTTTCATAGTCAAATTTGTCAGAATTGTCTAGTACACGAATATATTTTACATAATATTTATTCAGAGTTTTAAATATTGCGTATGAAAGACGATCATATGTGAATTAAACAAAAAATTAATTCAGGGTGTCATTGGACTAATAACAAAAATGTTACTTTTCTGGAAGTAATATATGATTCGAGAGAAATTAAGTTAAATTAAAATCATATCATATTGAATATAAATTCTTTTTTTATTTTGCTTATAAGAAATGATTTTATTAGAAATTTAAAAATATTGTAAACTAAATTTTACTGCGAAAAAAAGTAACCCCTAAACTTAGTTTTGAAAGCAACTTTAGAGTAAAGCTTGACGATCGGTTTCGTAGTAGTAATTAACTTTGACGGCGAAAGTGTCTCGTAGTATGATAAAAATGTTATTTGTTTTTTATTTTAGACATAATTTTTTACGCTGGTTGTTTGTTTTTTTGTTGTCTCAAAATTAACTAAAGTATAAAATTTGCTAAACTACCAAGTTAAGCATATAGTTGATGGAGATTTGTGCAGTTTTAAATATTATCAAAGAAAAGTAGTTTACAGCTTTTTCAGTATTTTATGTTTATATACTTTACTAAACTGTATAATATATAAATTGAAATTTACTGAAATTTTTAATACAATTTGTTTATTCAATAATTATTTACAAACAAAGTAGTTAAAAAATTATGATGGCTATTCCAACAGCTAATAGTAGTTTTCCAGTAGTAATGCAAGATTATTATTCTTCATATAATTTTCAAATGCCACAACAACATATTGCTTCAAGCCAGCAAAGCATGAGCAGCTCTCATTTAAATAAATTTGAACATGATAAGTCTTCTGATAAATCGAATAGATCAAATGATAGAGAAAAATCAAGAAATGGGGATCAAAGACGTGAAAGACATGATTCAATGTCCCGAGACAAAGGGTCTAGTAATCAAATTGATCATGATAAACCACCGTTTTCTCGTGTATTTGTTGTATGCAGTAAATCACATACTGGTGAAGATTTAAGGAAAACATTTGAAGAGTTCGGAACTGTTGAAGATGTTTGGGTTGTTAAAGACAAGCAAACTAAAGAAAATAGAGGTGTTGCTTATATCAAATTTTCAAAAATGTCAGAAGCATGCTTAGCTGTAGAAAAAATGGATGGAAAAAAACTTTCAGAATATGATGATGCAAAACCTTTAAAGGTGAATTATTATTGTTAAGATTATAGAGTATACTAATATATTCTGCTTGTTTTAACATTTTTTTTATGAACAAGAAAAATAATATAAGAGATTAAATATAAAAAAAACTATAATAAATAAATAAATAGTAAAATGTTATAATTAGACAATTGAACAAATTAAAATATCAACTCTTGGACAATTTTTTTGAAGTCTAATAAATTTTATTATTTTTTAAAATTTAATTCTAAAAGTTTATTATAAGTATTACATAATAACTACTCTTAAGTTAGAAGTTAATCTCAAATAGATTGAAAATGGCAGATTTTCTACCTATTTGAGAATTTTCTACCTATTTGAGAAAGAAAGAAAAAATCCTTACCCCTGGAAATCCAGCACTAAGTAGTTATAGCAAAACCCTTAGGCAAATCTATATTACTATTATTATTTTATAATGTTTAGAAATTGAATTTGAATAGACATGAATGTCTATCAACCTGTCTTGCAAATATAATAATGTATGTTGTATATTTTCTAATCTTAAATCATTTTTTCTTGTTTTAGGTAATTGTTTAGTTTGTTTTTAAAATTGCTCAAGGATGACACAATTACAATGTCATCTGGGAGGGAGTTGACTACTCATAAACTAGAAGCCAAAAGAATTACGGTTTTTCTAGTTTTAATGAATGTCCTCTTGTAATAGAATTTATAATTATTTTTGGAAAAATTGTTTGACAGTTGTACCAATTGTTTAGCCATTTATAGACGTTTACTAAATCTCAATGGATTAGTCTGTCTCATGGTTGTCATAATCATTTTTAATAGTCTTTGGTGATATGTAAGATTGTGTAATCCATAAACTAAATGCACTTCTGAGTATAATTTTAACTCAAGCCTTCCCAAGAAAGGAGTGCGGTTTTTCGTCTCCTATGACCACGAAAATGTTTTTCAAGTTAGAGAATGTGATCACGGCTGTTTGCGCAAGTTTATTATATGTGTTACTGAAAAATTGTTTTAAATTTAATAAATACATAAGAAATTAAGTAAACTTAAAGAGAAAATAATAATAATAGTTTAAATAATTTGTGTGTTGTTTTTATTTTTGTTTTTTCTTAGTGGCTATTATTATTGGCAACAAAATTCATTAAGTCAAAGCAAAAAAAAAAAAATGGTTTTAATCGTTAAAAAGGATGACTTTTCCATATTTTATGTATTTTTTCTTTGATAGAGGTAAGAGAAAATATGTACGGTTATCTGTTTGTAAAATATATTTGTATAATTGTAATGTAACAAGTTTATATCAAGAGTTAAATTATACGATCGCGATTTGAAAACTCTGGTAAAATATTAGGTCTTTAAAATTTTAGTTCATGTAAAGCTGTGTACTTTGTTTATAAGGAGTAAATTATTAAAAGTTTGCTAGCGAGAAAGTTATAAAAAACAAAACAAAAACAATAAACTTATGACTACAAAAGTAATAACACTTTAGTCACTAACTGCATTATAATAGTTATAAAACTATAATAGTGTTATTACATTTATAAAGCATTTATTAATTTTAAAGTTCTTTGTTCAAACAACATTATTAATTCCAAACATTTATTAAAGTAGAAAAGCATCTAGAAAAAGTTAAGTGGATATTCAAATATTATTAAGAATTTCAGGAACTTTCACATATCACTTAAACAACGTTATAAAAAAGTACTTTATAAAAAGTATAGCATTATGAAAAACGCTACGCTAAAACGCGCGTTAATTTTAAAATCAACCAATAAAAAATTTTATTGGTTAATTTTAAAATTAATGCGTGTTTTATGGTCCATTCATAACACTTTTCATAATAGTAAACTTTTAATATGATACGTATTAAAAGTTTTATATAGATAGATATTTTTCCAGATTTTGGGTTTTGCATTCACTTAATTCAACCCTTGTTGTTACATTAAAATTATACAAATAAATTCTACAAACACTTTGCAATTTGTAATTGTAGAAAAGGAAAATCATTCTTTTTATTCTAGACTTCAAAGTGTTTTTTTTTTTGCTTCACCTTCTCTAATTTTGTTGCTGAATAAAACTCTAAAGAAACAAAAATAAAAACAGTACACAAATTATTTAAATTATTATTTTGTTTTTACTTTTTTCTATTTCAATCTCTTTTTATTTTGTTAGTTTTTTTTTTTTTTTTTTTTTGAAACTTTTTCAGCATTATTTTAAAACTTGCAAACGGCCGTGTTCACGTTTTCTAAAATAATATAATTGCGTGTGGTCATACGAGACAAAAAACCACGCGCCTTTCCTGGGAAGACTTGTAACTTGTCGTTTGTCTTAAAGTAGACAAGAATTATATACAGATATTCTAAATGCATTCCACAATATTCTAAATATAATCGAACTAGTGCTAAAAATATTCTTTTAAAACAAAATAAGCTCAGATAAGAGAAGGATATTTTTATTAGAAATAAGATTGCTTTAATATGGATGTATGTTTGGAGAATAGTAAGTTACTATCGATATGTATTCTGAGGTCACTTACTGAGTTAGTAGATTTGATGTCAATTTTTGGTTGTACATAGTATAGACATGTTTGTTTTTTTAGCTAAGGTGTAGAACTGAACACTTTTCTACATTAAGTTTCATCTCCCATTTAGTTGCCTAGTCAACCAAAATATCAATATCATTTTAAAGTATGCTTGAATGAATTTCAAAGTCAATGTGAACATTATTGATGGAAAGACATTTATCTAAGTTGCGTTTCCATGCATTGATAATAATAACAGTAAGATTTGTTTCACAAGATAAAAATCTGGATAAAAACTGTGTTGACTAGGAGTTAGCAGAATATTTTTTAACAGATGAGTAAAAATTTGTTTTTGTATTATTTTCAAATATTTTGACTGTGATACATGTTAAACTAATGGGTCTATAGTTTGTAACTAGTTTCTTGTCTCCTTTTTTTGAAAATTTGTATAATAATTGCATCCTTTCAGATTTGTGGCAATGTACTAGTTGAAAGGACCTTAGTATAAGTAATAGAAAAATATTTGGAGATTTGGTCATAGATTTCTTTTATTATTCTGGGATGTATCCCATCTGACACCGTTTCTTAAGCCTCGTTAAGTCTTTTATGAAAAACCTTTATTAAGCTGTTCAACTGCTAGTTTCTAGTAGTTTAAAACTTAGTTAATTATTATTAACTGTACCTTTATCAAATAAAGATTTTTTTTTTATTTATTTTTTTACATTATGAAATTTATTCAACTCATGAAGTTTTTGAAAATGATGCGCTAGAAGAAGTTATTTTTTCATTGATTGATCATCATTCAAAACATTAATTTTTTTATAGGAAGCTATTTTTACAATTACAGAGGTCTAATTACAGGCCCTATAATAGCTTTCTGAAAAGTTTAAAAAGACAATATAGCTTATGCTTGACAAAGCTAAATTCCAATTTTATAAGAACTCTAGTAACATTGAAACTGAATTACTTGTTTATTTACATTTGTTGTTTAAAGTAGTGCTGTGTGTTGCATGGTTATCACATAGACAGTCCATTAGTTTTAGTTTATTTTGGCTTACCACCAACAAAGCTGCAAGCAACCATTAATTAGTTATGAGTTAACAGAAAGCAGAGAGTTAAAGAGCTTTGGATGTTTTTTTGACCTTATTTAGAAATAATGATGATTTTTCTAATGAAATCATTAGAAAATACTCGGCTGCTTGTAATAAGCAACCAGAGTTGATATTTGACCTGGGCTGGGGCCAAGTTAATAAAATATAGTCTGGGGTGGTTTGTGACCGAGGCTGAATAAACTTTTATACATCCCCAAGTAATTTTTTTTTTTTTTCAAAATTCATGTTATACTTTGTATATATGCATGTATAAACATCATTACAAGCCTTCCCAGGAAAGGCGCGCGGTTTTTCATCTTGTATGACCACGCAAGAGTATTTCATTTTAGACAACTTGATCACGGCTGTTTGCAAGTTTTATAAAGTTAATCATGGCGGAAAAAATTTGGAAACAAAAAAAGCAAAACTAACAAAATAGGAATTAAAAAGAAATATAAATAGAAAAAAATAAAAAGAAATTAATAATTTAAATAATTTATGTACTGTTTTTATTTTTGTTTCTTTAGAGTGGTTGTTACATTCGGCAACAAAATTAGATAAGGCAAAGTAAAAAAAAATTTTTAAGCCTACAATAAAAATAATGATTTTTCTTTCTTTAACTTTTTTTAAAGAGTAAAGTGAAAGTATAAATTGCAATGTATTTGTAAAATGTATTTATATAATAACAAGAGTTGAATTAAGCGATCACGAAATGCAAAATCTGAATAAGTATCTGGTCTTCAAAATTTTAGTTTATACAAAAACACGTTCTTTGTTTTCAAGGGGCGAATCAACTTTAATTTGTTAGCGAAAAAGTTATAAAAAATAAAACAATAAACTTAGGAATACAAAAGTAATAACACTAGAGTGACTATCTGCATTCTAAAAGTAATAACACTATAATAGTGTTATTGCTTTTATAACGTCCTTATAACTTTATAATTCATTCTTTATTCAAATAAGATAAGTTCTCCCAAATTTTAATTGAAGTTAAAAGCATCTAGAAAAAAATAGTGGATATCTAAATAATATTTAAAACTTAAGTAACTTATAAAAACCTTAACGTAACTTTATCAAAATGTAAAAACGTTACTAATAATACATAAAAAAGCGCGTTAATTTTCAAATAAACTAATAAAAAAATTTTATTGGTTGATTTTAAAATTAAACGTGCCTTTATAGGGACTATTAATGACGTTTTTCATAATGCTAAACTTTTTATTATGCGTTTTTATAAAGTTGTTTAAGTGATTTGTAAAAGTTCCTCAAGCTTTTAATATTTGAATATCCGCTTTATTTTTTCTAGATGTTTTTCTACTTTAATTATTGTTTGGAATTACTAATGTTGTTTAAAGAAAAAATTAAATTTTAAAGTATTAAGTGCTTTATAAAAGTAATAACACTATTATAGTTTTATTACTTTTATAATGCAGTTAGTGACGAGAGTGTTATTACTTTAGTAGTCGTAAGTTTATTGTTTGTTTTGTTTTTATATTTTTCTCGCTAAAAAAGTTATAATTTGCTCCTTGAAAATAAAGTACACAGCTTTGCATAAACTAAAATTTTGAAGATCAGATATTTTTTCAGGGTTTGCAAATTGTGATCGCTTGATTCACTCCTTGATATATACTTTTTACATTAAAATTATACAAACATATTTTACAAACAGGTGACAATTTATATTTTCGCTTTCCTCATTAAAAACAAAACAAAATATAGGAAAATCATTCTTTTTAATGTTAAAAACTTTTTTTTTTTTGCTTTGACTTACCGAATTTTGTTGCCAAAAATAATAACCACTATGAAGAAACAAAAATAAAAACAGTACACAAATTTTTTAAATTATTGTTATTATTATTTTCTATTTATGTTTATTCTAAATTCATATTTTGTTATTTTGTTTTTAAAACTTTTGTCAGCAACGCATATAAAAAAACTTGCAAATGGCCAGGACCAAGTTGTCTAAAATAAAATACTCACGCGTGGTCATACAGACAGAAAATGGCACGTCTTTCCTGGGAAGGCTTGTCATTATGATCATCATAATCATCATCATTACCATCATCATTATCACCTAAAAGCTTTTTAACCTATCCTCTATTTTAAAGTAACTCATAACTTAATAGTGACTGTTTGCTACTTTGTTGATAGTAAATTAGAGTTTAAATATATATATATATGTCAATATTTAATAAATAGTAAATGTAAGTATAAAATTATAATATATAAAGATTTATAATTTTTTTTCTAGTCCCAGCTATCAACCCCTGCTTAATCTTATAATTTTAATCGCTTATTTTTATTCTTCTAAAAATATTTTTATGTAATAATATATATATATATATATATATATATATATATATATATATATATATAATATATATATATATATATATATATATATATATATTATTACATAAAAATATTTTTAGAAGAATAAAGCCTAGAATGAAACATTTTATGAGAAAATTGTCATGTAATAAACTTTTTGAGTCTATAAGACAATAACAAGCCAAGCTTTAACTTTATCAGTTGTAATTTTTGTGTAAATTAGAAGTTTTAAATATTTAAAATTTTCAATTAAGTGTCTATTTGAAAATTGTTTGTTAAGTTATTAAATATTAATTTTAAAATTGTTAAACTGGTTCTAGTTTTGGGATTTTTTAATTGACATCTTATTTTTACTTGGACTCTGGAGTCTTGAAGCTCCTAATTTGTATAAAAAGTACATGACTTCAAGAGTCCTGGAACGTTTTATTTTTAAACTCGAAATCCTTATACATATTTATAACCATGGACTCTCAGCTCCAGGTCTCTTAATGTTGTGTATTTTTTTCTCTTCAAATTTTAGAAGTAAAAATTTCTACTAAATTATTTAAATTAAGCTTTTTATTTAGGTCATTATTGCACAACCGAAATCATCAAAATCTACAGAGGATTTTAATGATGAATCAGCACTCACTCGACTTTTTGTTGTAATTCCAAAAGGGATGGATGAGAAAGATCTCCAAGATTCATTTGACAAGTTTGGAGAAATAGAATATGTGCAAGTTGTCAAAGACAGAAAAACAGGCGAGAAAAAAGGATTTGGGTATGTGAAATTTAAACATGCTTATAATGCAGCATTAGCTGTTGAAAGTTGTGACAAAACATTTAGAGCTGTTATGGCAGAACCAAAGTCTGCTAAACTTAAAAGAGACATGGCGCATTCTGAAAACTTAGCTTCCGTAAATATTGGAGGTATTGGAAATGGTTTAGATTTTTCTCTTGGCTTAAGTAATTGTAGCAGTCGATCTGATATTCCATCATCTTTTAACAATGTCGGTGCAATGTTTTCTGACAGGGGATCATCAGCAATTGGAAACCGTCTTCAAGTACAAGTTGCACAAAATGTTACTCAAGAGCAGTTAGCACGTTTATTTGATTTGATTCCTGGAATGGAGTTATGTGATTTAAAGCGGAACTATTCAACAGGAGAATCTAAAGGTGTAGCTGTAATAGTGTATAACTCTGTTGGTTCAGCTATATATGCTAAAGAAAAATTAAATAGCTTTGAATATCCACCCGGTTCTAAGCTAGTTGTTCGTTATGCTCCTGATGAAGATGGTCAAATAGAATTATCAGCCCATCAATCAAATCTACAAGTTAACAATATTCCGTATTGTACTGTACCATTGCCATCAGCAAAGCCTATATCAGATGCAGAATCTTGTGCAGAGCGTTTATTTATTGTGTGTCAGCCTTCGCCACCTCCAGATCATATTCTAAAAGATATATTTTCGCGTTTTGGAGATTTAATAGATGTTTTCATGCTGAAAAATAAAAACTTTGGTTATGCAAAGTACTCTAGTATTGAATCAGCAGAAGCTGCTATTCAAACGCTTCATGGTGCTGAAATTTTAGGTAAAAAATTGAAAGTTTTGCAAGCAGAGCCACCAAAATCTAACGAAACTGCTAGAAAACGCCCAAGGACATGAGTTTGAAAATTTTATGACGTTAGTTTAGGTAAGACTTTATATTGGCTTTATAAACTACACAAAAACGGACACTTCTGAAACAGAATGCCGCACACCAACTGAAACAATGCCAAAGTTATGACAATGGTATAGAGTAATATATTATTTGTAAACCAAATGGTGTAATAAATATCTCTTGAGACTTTTTTTTTTTTTTTTTTTTTTTTTTTTTGTTTAAAATATAATTTAATCACTTTTTGACAAATGACTCGAAAATATTTTATACTATAAACACTATAAACACACCCTTAAAAAGAAATATATATAATTAATGCACTTATCCCCCCAAAAATATTGTAGCAGTTCTTATTTTAAAAAATATGCACACGAAGAAAACGAAACTTGACTGAAAGACATTGCAATACCAGCTGGAAGACAAGATGACAACTTTTACTACTACGTCATTTTTTCTTATTAGCAGGTTATGAGTTTTTTTTAAATATATTTTATAGCTTAATTGATTTTTTTACGCATTAAAAAAGCTCTTTTTTGTTCGTCTTGCCAACTATTTGTCTCTTAAATATTAGTGTAATATTGTTAACCATTTCTTTAGCTTGTTTATATTTCAATTGAATGTCAGAAAAGAGCTTTTTTTGTTGGTAAGTAAATTCAGGTAGGGTTATGATTATTATCAACTTTAACAAAAGTTTATTCTTACTGCAGATACGAAGCCACAGAACTCACTGTGATAAACATTCTACGAGGTGAGCCGACTATCTTACATAACAGATTTAGTGCTGTAAATTAAAGAAACTTCTTCACTTAAATGACAGGCTAACGCACCAGGTTTAAATGACATGCTAACACAAGGCAAACCTCAACATATGAAAGTACATCTCAAGCCACCTACGTAAAACGAATACAATTTCGGTTATGCACTACTGTATGTTAGCTTATGCCTATATATTGGATTTGCATGCACTGGGTTAAATGAAAATCTATACGGTTATTTCTGTTAATGTTACTGTTCATCTTTCATTTACGCCTTGTTTTTGTTAGTCGATACATTTTCGCATTCTTTACTTAAAAGTTAACGTTTTTATTTGTTTAAACGCTCTCGTCAGCTAATACTGAATTACCTGACTTTTAACGACTTTTGTAAATAATTTTCTTATTTTAACTATAATTATAAATGATGATTATAATCTAAAAAATTTATTTATTTATTTTAATATGCTTTTTCTTGTTTGTTAACACTTTACTATTTAATGTTAATTGGTACCTTCCAAGCAAAGTATCGCATGTATTACAATAGGAAGCAAAGTATCGCATGTATTACAATAGGAACTATCAATCGTATTGTTGATATCAAAAAGTTATATTTCAGTTATGGTTTGCTAATGGCAGACAGATCAGTTAACGATCTATCATATTGTTTGCAAAATTATTTTATGAAAAATCCAAAACTATGTGGCAAATACTGAGTTAAGCTTTATTAAGTTTATAAAGGTGGTATCCTGCCATTATTTCTATTTTCTTCTAAAAAATATCTTTGTGTAATAGAAGAAAGTTTACTTTAACGCAGGATTTCTACGCAGACGATAAATCTCAAGGAACCTTTTTTCTAATTCTTATGGTAATCTATTTTCTTAAGGCAGAACCACATTAAAAAAAAATTGAATTTGTGTTCTGTCTCCGTTTAAAAGACTTATTTGTCGAAAAAAAATTTAAAGTAACAAGCCTCGCTGACTAAAAAAATATTAGTTGAAAAGTTTTATTCTTTTTTCAGCTAATAATTTGTTATACATAATTAAGTTGTTTCATTAATAATATTTCAAAGACTGTTGTCTGATTTATAAAGCTTGCTAACAACTTGATCTTGGTTTCAAGAAACAAATCGTCATTAGATGTAGTTTATAAAAATTTAAGTTTGTATGAAAATAACCTTAATTGGTTTTGTCGCGGTGTTGTCACAATCGCGTAAGTTTACAACATTTTGAAACAGCAGAATGAAAACATTTTAATTAAAATAAATTGAAATTTTCGCCTTTTTTCATGTTACGCCTAGATTTAAGCAATTAATGAAATCTGCGTCAAATATTTGGCATAGTTGTCGCTGTCACGTAAATACCTAAAGATATTTGCTTATGAATATTATTCTCTCAAAATTCAATTATGTTGCACAAAAAAAATATTTTTTTTGACAAATTAATGGCAAAATACCACTTTAAACTATTTAATGTCTTAATCAGTTACAAGAATTTTCTGTTGAAAATTTTCAAAAAATCTTTCTGCGACTCAATGATTGCATACAAGTGACCAATTGAGCCGTCCTGTCAAGTAGATATGGTAAAGGTGATCCTAAAAGCAGATTGTAGCGTCGTTGAGTGAGCGTCTAAAAGAATAGGTCCTCATCAGTTACAAGAATTTTCGTTTAAAATGAATTAAAATTTTTATTGTAATAATTTTTTGTTTCTACGACTCAATAACCGTATACAGGTTACTTATATTAAATTTATCATATCAAAGGTCTTCGATTTCTTGCCAATTGTATAAAAAATGTAATATTGTTTCAAAAGAATAAATACATCGTGTTTACATTATGTGTGTGGTGTTCAATTCTATGGCATTAAAAAGTATATTAAAATAAGCAACAACAAAAAATAAAGCGTGTGATGTTAAAATTGGACAATAATTACTCTCATAAATTTATATGCAATTATAAATTCTACAAATATAAATTTTAAGAATTTTTAATTGTTCATATAAAAAATTATTTGAAAAATATTAATTGAAATTTCAGAAATCAAATCTTGTAAAAAGAACTTAAAACAAATATTTTAATAATCGTTAACATGTTTTTTCCATCCTAGTTTTCCTTCCTAGTTTTGAAACAATTTTATTAGAAAGACATGTAATACAATAATATAAAATTTAACTGACAAGAAACAATAACAAACGAATAAACAAAAACTCAGGTTTTTGCTTCTAGAGCAGCCATCTTAAAATCGACGCCGATTTCAAAATCATTTTTTCTAGTCCACGGTGTTCTTGAACCTCTTAAACAAAGGATAGTTGAGCGAAGTATCTCGAATGATAACTTCGTTCTTAACCACGCCATAACAATAGAGTATTTTTCGGTTTGTTTTTCCGAAGGTTTCTCGGCTGGTCTTCTAATAAGCTTATGACATTCTTTACCCATACCTATTATGTTTTTTTTGCGTTGTTAATAAAAACATAAAATTGTATTTACATTACAGAAGCGCATCTAGTAGATAAAAAATTGAAATGTGTAATTGAGAAATCGCAAGTTCTCATAAAAGTAAAGGGGCACGATCGTAAATATTTCGTATATAAAAAAGTATATGTTTTACTCAACTTTGTTTAAACCGTTTTTGTTAGCGATAGTTAAAATAATCAAAAATATTATACATGAATTTTGTTGGTCACTTTCTAAACCTATGTTTTGGAGGGGTAAAGTCAAGATAAGGACATTTTGAAAAAATAAAAAACTGTTTAAAAACCAAAAGTGTGTCAGGAAATGTATCTTAAGTGACATTCTGTTGCAAACTTTTCCAAATGCTCCAATCATTATTATCAAAATACTATTCAGATTACTAATTCCGAATAAAATTGACATAAAAGTAGAGTTACCGATGTTTTTTTCCATAATATAAAGTTTATCAAGGAACTTTTAATTTAAACATCTAAAACTATAAATCATACTAATGTTGTAATAGCCGAATTAATAAATTTCTAACATAAAATTGTATGTTATATATTTAACAAATATAAAAAATATTTTTATACATAAAAGTAAAAATAAATGATATTCTGGAAAGGTACTAAATATGCCAGAAGAATTATAAATACATCGAAGGCATCATTTATGTTTTTATTATGTTTGCATGTACTACTGATGGTGTATTTTTTCTTTCATATACAGTGTATAAAGCTAAACTTCTGATAGGCACTCGAATACTCGGAAATCAGGTTGATGCACGTTATAACCAGACAAAATCTGGTTGGTTTGATGACTACTGTTTTAATGATTGAATGCAAATATTTGTAATACTTCTGACATGTTGACAACAATAATACTTCTTATAAGTGATAACTTAGCATGGCATTTATTTAAACTTGTGAAGTTAACAACATTAGAATAGTCTTCTTACATCCTAACAGTACAAAGTTGCAATAGCTTCTTGACCTTGCAGCTTATGGACCCATTAGTGCAGGATGGAGAAAAGTAACTTCTGAATAGAATAATGGTGAAGGAAGGTTTAATACCGACACATTTTTTCTGAGGTTACTTCCTAATTTCTTGACTAATATGAACATCTGGCTCACACCCTCTAAATAGAAAATATGAACATCTGGTATCTACCCTCTAAATAGAATTATTGACAAGATTATAAGAACAGGCGATTGTAAATCTTTTCAGAACTTAGTATCCCCATAAGTTTTTGAACGTCTTGCAAAACTTCGAGAAGTTTCTGTAAAAAGCCTGGGGCAGTGTTGCGTTGGTAAAAAAGATTAATGTTTCACCAGGAAAAAGTGTTTCACTGGAAGATTTTGCAGCAGTTCTTCTGTTTTTAGATCCCAATCAAAACGCAAGCTAATAAAATAAAAAATACCTACTAAATGACTCCTTAAATAAAGAAAAAAAAAAGAAAATTCTACATTAATCTCAAATACGTTTAAAAAAGTAAATGATTATGATATATGTTTAAGCTTCAAGATATAAAGCTACAAGTAGCTTCTACTTATAAATCTGAGGGTATTCAGAAATGCAAAAGTGAAACGTTAAAAATAAAATATTTCTTTTTTGATGATTTAAATAATGATGCTTATAACCTTTATGATTATCTTTTTAATCAAAATTATCTAAAAAAAATTTTAACAACTACTTAGAAGAAAGCAGCTACGAATTGAATGAATATAATGAATGAATTGGATTCTAATTGCTCTAGAAAAATAGATGATCCAGGAATAATTGCAACCTCTGAATATTTATTATCAGAAGGTTTTTATATTTTTGTATGGTTTGAAGGAAAAAAGATTTATAATTTTGTGATATGGTAAAGTAGTAATTGGAATATTAAATACATTAGACAAGATTTTAATGATTCGAACCCATGAACAAAATTGTGTTTCTTCACAGAAACACAATTTTGTGATTACTTTATTACAGAAAGCAAATCAATCATGAAACAGCTTCCTTGCCCCCTATACGAAATAATCAACATATCTTTTTTGAAAAAAACTATTAGTGACTTATATATAGGCGATTCCACCGTTACTTACGTACATTTTGATTTTTGTAATGACACTTTTTTAGATATACATTTTTTATTTTAACAGGTTAGATGTTTATATACTTATGAATCATCCCAAAATCATTTATTTGTTTACCTGCATATAGAAATATAAATTGTTCAAATATTATAAGTATTGGAATTATAGTTGATTATATGTTGTGTTACTTACGGGACGCAAAAAAACATTGCATTAAACCTGTTGTTTTCAGTTGAATATTTCAAGCCAAATATTTAAGCTACATAAACTGGCTTCTAAATTAAATTAAGTAGTTATTATTCTGCGTAAAATTATTTAAAAGAATGTTTTAGTTATTTATTTTTATATCTTAAATCAAATTAGTTATCGTTACTTACGGGAACAATTCTACGTTTTTATCAAAATGTTTGTAACCCCCTCAATTGAGGGGTTACAAATTTTATTACAAAGTTTATCGAAGAATATAAGTCTAATTGAGAATAGTACAAAATATTTTTTATAAAATTATTGTCCCTCACGTTTAGGGTCAGGGGATGAAGTCAAATGGCTTTTTCGTTCCCAGTCTCCAATCATCGCAAAGCTTTATTATTTGACATATTATGTCCAGGACGGCCCTGGAGCAAACTCCAAAAATTTGTATATTTTACTTATATAAGTAAAACATACAAATTTTTGGAGTTTGCTCCAGGGCCGTCCCGAAGAGATTTTAAAGAGCGGGGGGGGGGGGGGTGATGTGTCTGTTTTTGCCGATTAAAGCCAAAAAAAAAATTTTTCATCGTTAGTTTAGCTAAAAAAAAAAAAAAAGGTCCTCGTTTTACGATATTTGCCGACTGTCAACTGTAGATCCAATTTTGCCGACTCCAGTTCCCATTTGCCGACCGAAAAAATTCGTAGGGGGGCTAGACACTCCCTACGCCCCCTCGGGACGGCTCTGGTTTGCTCCATCTATGGAAATTATCTCAATCAGCAAAAAATCCTGGATCCGTCATATATATATATATATATATATATATATATATATATATATATATATATATATATATATATATATATATATATATATATATATATATATATATATATATATATATATATATATATATAAAGTTAGGGGGGGGGGCTGAAATCTATATTAAAAAGAGAAAAGTTCCTCAATTTTGTATGATACAGCAAAATAGATAAAAATGATCTATTTATTCAATTATTTATCACACGCAAAGTGATTAATCATCTTTTTAACGCGATAAGTCATTTTTTGCCAGCACACATTCATTTAAAAAATAGTTTGTATGAGATAGTATCTGGAACAGTTTTATGGATATACTAACCCATGGTGATATTTAATTGTGATTGAGTCATTGCAAACTGGAAAATGATAATTCCACTGCTGCTATCATAAAAGTTATCAAAAACTGTTTATGAAATGTGGGGGGAATGGGGAGAGGGGGGGGGGGGAAGGGGCTAAATGTAGTGTTCCCCCCCCCTGTGTTTTAGTTAGAGGGGCTACCGCTACCTCTGCCCCCCCCCCCTTTTTCCTACGCCAGTGTAAAATATATATATATATATATATATATATATATATATATATATATATATATATATATATATATATATATATATACAATGGCGTAGGAAAAAGGGGGGGGGCGGATGAACTCTTTAAAGAGGCTTTAAAATTTAAATGGAATAGTAATAAAAAACATTTCTTTTTAAAAACGTCATTAAAAACTTGTCAAACATTGCCGTAGAGCGGAATATTCTTAAAAAAAAAAAAAAATTAGGTGAATTAAATCATATGAAACAAAAATTAATTAAACTTCCTACCCGTTACAATAATTATGTTTATTTGTAGCAATTAGCGTTTAATGGTGTCTTTTATTTAATAAAATTTAATATAGATAAATTGAAAATCCTAATGTTATTCCGAAATGATTACACCTGTTTTAGTACTCGTGGTTATTAATATTTTTATTTTTATATTACTAACATTATTTAGTTTATATATTGTATATCTTTAAAAATTTAAAATTATCAGTGAAGTTTATTACTATTATTTTTATTGCTGTTAATGCATTTAATTATATTGTTTATAACAATGCTATTGTTATAATAATTTAACAACTATGTTATTATTATAAACAATATATAAATTTATAGCAATAAAAATTACTAGTATTAAAAAGTTTTAACTAAAAATAAAAAGTTACAATTATTATGTTATATTTTATTATCTGAAGTTCTACATGATTCCTGTCAGATTTATATGTCCTATGTGTTGTATATATTGTAATATAATTTATATATATTTTAATAAATTATTTTCTATATATACCTTCTTTAGTTCTCTATTCAATTAATTTTTTTTTAAAAACTATATATGAACTTTTTTACTTCCACTAACAAAAAATATATTACAAAGCTTTATAAAAAAACTGTCCCAAACCTGAGAGCAATGAAATGATAAAATATTATTTTTACTATTTTCAAATAACTTTACATTCATTGATAAATTATAGATTTTATACAATAATCTTTTAGCCTTCAATAAAAATGACCTTATAAAATTTGTAACATCCTCAAATTGAGGGGGAGGGGATCAAACTTTGTATAGTCATAATTTTTGAACATCAAGAGGCTATTGTATTATTGTATTAAACTTAAAATTTATCAATGAATGTAAATTCATTGTTTGAGGCAGTTGTTACCAATATTTTAGGACTTTTGTGTTCACAAGCTCCAATCATTGCAATTTTTTGCAAAGCATCCTTATTTGACATAAATATAAACATATAAATGTTTGGAGTGTTCCATGTCTTGAAGTTAGCACCTCAAACATCAAAAAATGCTGCTCTTCTATTTGATAGAGTCATGAGTTAATTAATAGTTGTTAGCAATCACTTGTTTATACAACTTGAGAATTAAATTAATTATAAGCATAGGTTTTGTGTTAAGCACTTCTTAGAGTTTTTACAGGTAAAAACTAATAATTGAAATCTCATGTTTTGATAACAGATGTTGATATGTTTTTTTGGTTATTAAAGGTAAATGATTGTTTTAATTCTGTTAGTTCTACCATATACTGTAATATGTTCATTGGGTGAAAAAGAGACAATATTTGTGAGATGTGTAGAGAAGTGCCTTAAGAGTGAGGCTCAAAAAAAGGATCATAGTTGGTTTCAATGGGAGTTAAATCGAGAATGTCAGTACAACTGTATGATGATCATTACCAAAGCTAAGGAAAAAAACAAAATGCCAATATATCAGTATTTTGGAAAGGTTAATATTATTTTTAACATTAACAACATTAATAATATTATTTAACATTATTAATTTAAAAATTGGTTATTTTTAAGATGTCTTTTATTGCGGTGATTTATTTTGTATTATTATGCTTAATATGAGTCATAGTATATATATATATATATATATATAATATATATATATATATATATATATATATATATATATATATATATATATATATATATATATATATATATATATATATATATTTATATGCCTGAGGGAAGAAATGAAGTACATTAGAATAAAGGATCATTTTTTTTTCGAACAAAGCATATTCTGACAGTTGTCAAGACAAAAAAAAAAGATCAATAGAAGAATATTTAAAAATAAATAAGGCAGATAACAGTACTTACAATAATAATGATAATAATAATAATAATGATAATAATAGTAATGATAATAATAATAATAATAATAATAATAATAATAATAATAATAATAATAATAATAATAAATTATTTTATAAACGCTAATATGAATGAAGATGTACAACAAATATATCACCAAACATTTTTTATATTTTCTTTTATAGTATAGCTTTTAGTATAGTATAGATTTAAATAATATAAACTGCAAAAATGTCTTGCTGGCTACTTTAATTTTTGAGTTCAAAATAATAAATTTTTTAGATAAAATTAGTATTAATATACAAGATTATCATTTGGCTCAATAAGGTTATTAGTAACCTCAAAAAAGACTTTTTATAACTATGCATATGTAATTTTGTTATAAATAAATTTTGTTATAAATAGATTAGTAATAAATTTTGTGCTAACTCAACATTTAGCTTTACACTTAAGACATCAATTAAAAAAAGAATTAATATTTGATACCTAAATTTTAGTTCTAAAACATTTATAGAGTAGTGATAGTGAGCCTATGTTTATCAGCCTTACTGAAAGACCTTCATATGACCCTTGCTTTGTTGATCTGAATAACCTAGTATAGGATTTATACTTGTTAAAAGTATATGGTGAGCTTTAAGAATCATATTTGAAAGAATAAAGAGTATTGTCATCTAGTGCACATGTGTCTTTCCTCAGGAAATTAACATCTAAAGCTCTCAGCTTTCCTTTCAATAAATGATAAAGACCAACAAATACTGACAAAGCAGTTGATTTTCAGAAACTTAAAACTTGCTGCTATTAATGCATAAGAATGCATCTGGAGCCTCTATCACCTTTCTCTTTGTTCTATATCGCTCTCTCTCATCTCAAGACTGTACTCTTCTTGATATTATTTCTGATTATATTGACCAAGCCCTCATTTTTTATCCATCAGTCAATATTGTTGTTGACGGTGACTTTAATGTTCATCACACTGAATGGCTTGGCTCTAGTGTCAGTGACTCTGCAGGCATTAAGGCCCACAACTTTTGTCTTTCTCAATCCCTAACTCAAATAGTCAACTTTCCAACTCGCTTTCCAGACAACCCGAATCATTTACCTTCTCTACTCGACTTATGTCTTGTTTCTGATCCTAGTCAGTGCTCAGTTTCTTCACACTCACCCTTAGGTGCTTCTGATCATGGTTTGGTCTCTCTAAAACTATTATCTCATTCTTCTTCACCATTAGAATCCCCCTATCATCGTACATCTTACAACTACCTAAAGCTGACTGGGACTCTTTCCTTGATTTTCTTCGTGATGGCCCCTGGGTAGAAATCTTTCGTCTCCCTGTTGACAAATGTGCTTCTTACATAACTTCGTGGATTCAGGCTGGCATGGAATCCTTTATTCCCTCTCGACGGTTCCAGGTCAAGCCTCACTCTTCTCCATGGTTTTCCTCACATTGTGCTGCTGCAATTGCTAATCGAAACCATTACTTCCATATCTATCAGCAAAACAATTCTCCAGAAAACAGACGTCTGTTTATTACTGCTAGGAACCATTGTAAAAAGATTTTGTCTTATGCCAAAGCCCGCTATTCTCAGATCATGAAATCTTTTATTTATCACAAAAATTAGGCTCTCGTGACTTCTGGAGAATCTTTAATAGTATCAATAATAAGGGCAAGTCTGTAATTCCACCTCTTTTGTATGGTTCAGACTTTGTCACCTCACCTAAAGACAAAGCTGAATTGTTTCCAAGAACTTTTCATCAATATCATCTCTTGATGCCACTAGTTGCGTTCTACCTGATATAGCCGTCAAACAGGTTGATCCATTGCTCGACATTCATATCACTCCAGCTTCTGTATCTGAGTGATTTCCTGCTTAGACTCTTCTACAGCTTGCAGCCCGGACAACATACCTGTTATAGTCTTGCAGAAGTGTTCTCCGGAGCTGTTGTCTACCCTTTCAAAACTATTTAACAAGTGCTTATCAGAGTCTTGTTTTCCAGCCTGCTGGAAAGCAGCTTCTGTTATCCCTATTTTTAAAAATTCTGGAGAGCGATCCGATTTGTCTAATTACCGTCCTATTAGTCTTCTTGCTATCATAAGCAAGGTTTTTGAATCTTTAATTAACAAACACTTAATTTCTCATCTCGAATCTCATAACCTACTTTCTGATCATCAATATGGATTTCGATCTTCTCGTTCTACGGCTGATTTGCTATCAGTAATAACCGATAGGTTTTATTGCGCATTAGATAAAGGTGGAGAGGTTAAGGTTATTGCTCTTGACATTTCTAAAGCGTTTGATAAAGTTTGGCATGCTGGTCTTCTCCATAAGCTTTCTTCTTACAGTGTATCTGGAAACATCTTTAAGATTATTGAATCCTTCCTTTCCAATCGTAGTATAAAAGTTGTCCTTGATGGACAGCACTCTTCTTCTTATTCTGTAACCTCAGGGGTTCCCCAAGGTTCAAACCTTGGCCCTATACTCTTTTTAATTTACATTAACGATCTTCCAGATATTCTCACATCTAAGGTGGCATTGTTCGCTAATGATACTACCATTTATTCTTGTCACGATAAGAAGCCAACTCCCTCTGATTGCTTGCAGAGGGCATCTGAGCTTGAAAAGGATCTTACTTCTGCTATAGCATGGGGCTCACAGTGGCTGGTGAATTTTAATTCAGATAAAACTCAAATTTTTTCAGCCAATCGTTATCGCAATAGTTTAGACCTTCCTATATTTATGAACAGTAATGTACTCGATGAGTCTCCTACCCTTCATTTTTTAGGATTAACTCTTACTTCTGACCTTTCATGGAAACCTTATATCAAATCCGTTGCAAAATTAGCATCTGCTAAAGTTGCATCTCTTTATCGAGCTTGACACTTTCTTACTCTGGATTCTATTCTCTATCTCTATAAATCTCAAATCCGGCCTTGTATGGAATACTGTTGCCATGTCTGGGGCGGATCTTCTAATGATGCCCTTTCTCTTTTAGGCAAGGTGCAAAAACGCATTGTAAACATAGTTGGACCTGCTCTTGCAGCCAACCTTTAACCTCTGTCACATCATCGTTATGTTGCTTCTCTTTCTCTTTTCTACAAATGCTATAATGGGCACTGCTCGAAAGAGCTAGCGTCTCTCATCTACTAAAATTCATTCTCGTGTTACTCGTCATTCAATTAAGTCATATAATTTGCAATCTTTTAAGTCGTCTGTCAATCGTTATCTTGCTCTACAATCTTCATCCTTTCTCTTCCAGTAACTTTCAACACTAATTAGTGGTTGCTTGCAGCCTTGTTGGAAGCGAAGATAATTAAAAAAAAAAAGAGTATGCATAGCATTTATGTGTTTCTTATGGCATTTGGAACAATAGAGTTAATGCCTGCCAATACAAATAGCCTATTAGAAAAGAGTTAACTTTTCAACACCAGACATCTGCCTCTATTTGATTTTGCTAGCATCATTCTGCCAGCTTTGCACATCAAATTAGGCCTTATGGAAAACTTTATGAAAACTATGAACAAAGATGAGCTGGGTTATCAGCATCATTGGCATAAGTTCCTAAACATCAGTTTGGTCAAATCAAGTGCTGGCATTTTTACTTGTCCACAGATCAAACAGTTTATTTTTGAAAAAATATTAGACAATATATAACTTTCTGCTTGGCTGTCATATAAATTATAATTGTTCTTGGAAAAACTAAATTAAATAAATCTGTTGAGATCTACAATGATCTTGTTTTTCATTATAATGCCATGAGATGTAGAATATTATTTAAAGTTATATGGTTTTCTGGTAAAAAAAATCTTAGTAATTTATGTAATAAACATGGTGAAAAATTAAAAAAAGTAAACAAAAAGTAAAATCAGAATAAGGAGCAAAAAATAAAAATACTTTCTGAATTAAAAGCAACAAAAAATCTCTAAATACATTTGCAGATTTTCAAAAAAAAAAAAAAAAAAAAAAAAGAATTTAACTAGTTCATGCAATCCTTTTTAATAATAATAATAATGTCTAGTAACTGACAAAGATGATACAATCCTTGAATAATAATATGATTTGTAACTGACAAATATGATACAATCCTTGAATAATAATATGTTTAATAACTGACAAAGATGATACAATCTTTGAATAATAATATGGTTATTAGCTGACAAAGGAGATGATACAATCCTTGAATAATAATATGTTTAGTAACTGACAAAGGAAATGATACAATCCTAGAATCAACTTTTTACTAAGGTTTTTCAGAACAAAGGAGATGATACAATCCTAGAATCGACTTTTTACTAAGGTTTTTCAGAACAATAAATTTTATTTTAAACTTTTTAAAATGTCTATTCATTAATTTTTATTATTATGCACATTTTGATTGTTTATTCATTTTGAAGATGTTCTCTTATATTTTAAATACTTTTTTAAAAAAATTACAATCTATCAATTCAGCTTTATCCAAACAATATCTTTAAAACTGTTAAACTCATTGGTTTTTCTATTAGAAACTCCAGTTCTCACATTCTTTAAACTCATTGGTTTTTCTATTAGAAACTCCAGTTCTCACATTCTATAAACTTCGCTTTATTTAATAACTTAAAAAATAAATAACATCGAAACTTAATCAATT